CGATGACATGCCGACCTCACGCGGTGGCTTGCGCAGGCCGCCGGCGCTGCGCGCTGCACTGGAAACGAGGGCGCTTGCGCGCGACAGTACCGTCGGAGTTCATTGGAGAGGACACGCGAGAGGACACAAGACCCTTCCGAGGGCCACATTGCCATAGGAATACAAGAAGGCATGGGTCGCGAAGCTCAGGACACAAGGGTACCCTCGACTTGGCGGGGTCGAACTACTAATCAGTCTCGACTGTACGCGGGCAGCTTGCGCTTGCAGTGTCGGTGAGCACGAAATCGCATTATTGCGTCGCTCAGATGGCAGCCGAGTGCAGTCGCCGTGCCACACCACCAGACTGGGGGCGCGAAGTGGCTTTCTTCCAGCCGCGGCGAGCCCTCGGCCGCGAGCTGCGTTATCCCCGGCCTAGATCCGCGGAACACGGACCGAAAAAACCAGAGCCCCTCTTTCGTTTCTTTCCGAAGGCGTGAAGCGCGATAGCACTGGCCTAATATCGTCGCTGTATGGTTTCCAGGGAACTCGTACGTCGATGCCCATGTTTTGAAAAAATCCCAGATGGAATCCACACCTGGGCCCCTCCTGAGCCCAAGTGGATCCTCATTCCCACGTCTCGACTGCAGGTGGGCTCGGAAGACTACACGGGATCGCAGCTGCTTCGGCGATGCATCGGCGATGCCTCGGCGTGGAGGAGATCGAGCTCCACACGGCGCCGCATCGCCGATGCATCATCGACGTATCGGCGATGCGTGCGCGGTGCGGCGCGATGCTCCGACCCCATCTGCTCAAACCCCAACTGGAAGACCTGAACTCCAATGGATGAACAAACAACAAGACGGAAACTTCTCAATCGTCGGACCACGACTATCAACCCACACATCCGGCTGCTGGAACTTTTTCGGTGCGTGGGGACAGGAAATCTGGACCACTTCTCCAGGGCCGGTTTTTCGCCCCGAGTCGTTTTCAGAGTCCCGAGGACCAGCGAAGGCATCCAGATGCCGAAAACAACCCAAAACCGACCGCTCCAATTTTTTGGAGCATCTGATCTCTGGGAAGAAACGACCTGGGATGTAACACCAGCCCTGCGGAAGACTTCAGGAGCGGCCTCTCAGATGGGGTCCGAGTAGGTGTGGTCGGAGGATCGCGCGGCATCACCAATGCATCGGCGATGCATCGGCGACGCATCGGCGTGGAGAAAATCGGGCTCCGCATCGAGCCGCATCGCCGATGCATCGGAGATGCGGCGCGATCCTCCGACCCCCATCTACTCCGACCCCATCTAGGAGGCTTAGATCCCGCGGAACGCGAATCTGGGAAAAGTCTGGCAAATCGCATGCCTCGGCAGAGGGCGGGGAACATATGTCTGCCCCGCCCCACCCACCCCCTCCCCGCCGGAGGCGCTCCTCGCGCCTCGCGGCCGCTGGCTCTCCGAACCATCCTGTGGTGTGGGGTCCTCGTTCGGAAGAGGCAGCGCGCCTCTCCCCCTCCTCCTCCCCTCCTCTCCTCTCCTCTCCGCTCTCCCTCTCCTCTCTCTCTCCCTCTCTCCTCTCCTCTCTCCTCTCCTCTCTCTCTCTCCTCTCTCCTCTCTCTCCTCTCTCCTCTCCTCTCCTCTCCTCTTCCTCTCTCCTCTCTCTCCTCTCTCTCTCTCTCTCTCTCCTCTCTCTGCTCTCTCTCGCTCTCTCTCTCTCTCTCTCTCTCTCCTCCTCTCTCTCTCCTCTCTCTCCTCCCCCCCTCTCTCCTCTCTCCTCTCCTCCTCCTATTCTCCTCCTCCTCTCCTCCTCCTCCTTCCTCCTCCTCTCCTCTCCTCTCCTCTCCTCCTCCCCCTCTCCTCTCCTCTCTCTCTCCTCCTTCCCCTCCTCGCCTCTCCTCTGCTCCCCCTCCTCCTCCCCCCTCCTCCCTCGCGCTGGCACACACCTCACACGCTGCGCAGCCCCAGGGTGGGCTTCGCCGCGGTGCGTACGGCGCGGAAGCCAGCAGCAACGGCAACAGGAGGAGGATGCGCCCCTGGGCACAAGCTCGATCCCCTCCTCCGTCCACCCTCCGCTGGGGAGAGAGAGCCCTGCCCATCCTCACCCTGGGCGTTGCTTCGCGGGGAAAAGCGAAAAACGTGGAGGGGAGGGGGGCGAAGAAAGGCGCCCCCTCTGTGCCCCCTAAGGGCCCATGGGGTGGACAACAGGCGCACCTTCCTCCGCCCGCCCCCCCCCACGTATACCCCTGAGGTGGACAACGGGTGCACCTTCCTTCGCCCGCCCACCCACGTATCGCCCCCCCAATTGCGCAGCGGCCGGCTCCCCCTTCCCCCCCCCCCTGCGGAAAAGCTGCGCGCCGGCGAGTGCGCAACCCTCGGCGCCAGCTGCGTGCGCCGGCAGGCGCACGGTGCGGAGGGTCTCGCATCAAGGATTCTGGACGCCCGAAATGGGTACGGAAAGAATGGGTACAATGCCCACCAGCAATTCCTGTTCATTTTGAACAGGATTCGCTGTCCACGCCGCCGCGGCCTGTGTCCACTCGAGACAGAAGGCCGCCTGCCCAACAGTGGCCGCTGCTGGTTTGGGACAACACTTGTTGTTGGGCATTGTACCCATTTGTTCCGTACCCATTTCGGGCGTCCAAAAGGATCGAGGAAAGTGGCGCCCAGCACCGGTTCCGGCCAGCAGCAGGGGGGGAGGAAGGGGCCCCCTCGTCGCCACGGCTGCGCGCGGCTCGCACAGCCTCGGCCTCGACCACGGGAGGGGTCTGGGGAACAATGTTTGGCGGAGTTGCCTTCGTCTCCCTCTGTTGACAAACATTCTCGGGATCCATCCAGTGCAGACCTCCCTGCCGCTTCCGAGGATGAGGGGGAGGAGTAATAATCAACAGTAGAAAAAGACGAATAGTAATAATAATAATAATAACAAGAAACAACATAATAATACAACGAATCAGGATCATACATGGACCAACCAGAAGAACAACAAGACGATGAATAAGAAGTGCAGCGGCGTAGGTTAAGAGGTAAGTTCTGGGTCGTCATTGAACGAACGATTCAGGGCCACTAAGCCCGATTAGGGGGCCAATAATTCGAATCAGCTCGGACTACAACTTGGATTACGCAAGCCCGATGAAACCGACCATATTAAGCGGGATTGGACGGAACTAAGCGACATGATGCAAGATAAGCCAAGTGCGACCACGGGTATACCAACGCCGGAACGAAACGCCACCCCCCAGGAGCTGCAACCAAGCGTAGGGAAGGGCGGCAGGTCAGGTCGAATGTGCGAATGCATCCGTCGCCATCGCCGGGAGGAAGGGGAGGAGGAGGAGGAGGAGGAGGAGGAGGAGGAGGAGGACGAGGAGGAGGAGGAGGACGAGGAGGAGGAGGCGGCATTTCCATTGTGAAGCGCGGCGCTGCGTGCGCCGTCCTGCCGAGCATGGCCGGCCAACAAGACAGTGACGGGCTGAGGAGGAAGAGATCTCCGGGGACCCCCAGAGCGCTCCTGAGACGTCCAGGGGGTCCAGGCGGACGACTGGGAGGAGGGGAAGGAGGAGAGGAGAAGGAGGAGGAGGAGGAGGAGGAGGAGGAGGAGGAGGAGGAAGAGGAGGAGAAGGGAGGAGGAGGGGGAGGAGGAGGAGGAGGAGGAGGAGGAGAAGGAGGAGGAGAAGGGAGTAGGAAGACGAGGAGGAGGGGACGCAGGAGGGGAAGGAAGGAGGAGGAGGAGGAGGAGGAGGGGAGAAGGAGGAGGAGGAGGAGGAGGAGGAGGAGGAGGAGGAGGAGGAGGAGGAGGAGGAGGAGAAGAAGGGGAAGGGCGAGGAAGGACCAGGAGGAGAGAAAGCAGGAGGTGGAGAAGGAGGAGGAGGGGGAGAAGGAGGAGGACGTCAAGGGGAGCAGGGGGGCGGGAGGAGGAAGGACGGGGAGTGGGACGGTCCTCTGCCTCCTCCTCCTCCTCCGAACTTCTCAACCCCCTCGTCCTCCTCCTCCTCGATTTCCTCGTGCTATCTTCTCTCCTCCATCTCTTCTCGCTTCTCGCAACTGTGGCATTGTGTCTCGCCTCCCGCCTTTCTCCTCTCCCCTTCCCTCCTCTCTCATCCATCTCTCTAGCTCCCTCCTCCTCTCTCATCTATCAAACTCCTTCCTCCTCATTGCCCCCTGGTCCTTGTCTTTCCTCCTCTTCCTCCTCCTGGACATCGGTGTGGAGGTGGGGAGCGGGGGGTAGCGACGAGAGGGATATGGGTCCATGTTCTTTTGTACCCATTGCCGCATCCCAAAGAAACCCTTTTGCGAATAACACATGGGGCAGACTCCAGTCTGGTCCGCTCAACGAGAAGTGGGTCCAGTGGCCCTGGACAACGACCACAGGAGGGAGGGAATGGATGGTGAATGGGACAAAGGGTAACAGGAAGGGAGGGAAGAGCAGGCATGATGGAAGAAGGAGAAGGGGCTGAGGAGGGAGGAAGGAAGGGATGAAGGGAAAAGGGGGGAAAGGGAGCAAGGGACCGCAGGAGTGTAAGAGGTGGAGAGAAGATCGTTGGTGTGCGCCTTTTCTCAACAACTTGACTGTAACAAGCCTACACCTGTTTTTTTTTTTTTTTCTGCGGTGGGCTCCTTCGGATCCGAAATCGGTGCCTCGTGGCCCAATGCTCTTCCATGTGTCCTGCCGTATGGGCTCCCGTATGGCCTCCAATATGGTTTGACGTACGGTCTCCCGTCTGGTGTCCTGTATGGCCTCCCGTGGGATCTCCCGCACGGTCTTCGTAACTATGTGCTCTCCCATTTGGCCCCCCCTTATGCTCCCCGGGATAGTCTCCTGTACTGTCTCGCGCATGCTCTTCCTTATGGTCTGCCGCACGGCCTCCCGCACAGTCTCCTGTATGGTCCACCGTTCGGTTCCCCGTATGGTCTGTCGCATACTCCCACATGTGATCTCCCGCATGCTTTTCTGGACATTCTCCTGCATGCTCCCTCGTACGCTCTCCGGCATAGTCTTCCGTATGCGCAGTGCGGTACAATGCACCATGCCCTCTCCACTGATGCTGTTTCGTCAATGCATGTTTTCCCCGCTGCTAGCGCGCTGGCCCACCCTTGTGGAGCCCGACCTGTCGCACGCGCGCGGGAGCGCCAGACGGGACGAGGACAGCGAGGACGGGGACAGCGAGGACGAGGAAGAGGAGGAGGACAATGAGGAGGAGGAGGAGGAGGAGGAGGAGGAGGAGGAGAAGGAGGAGGAGGAGGAGGAGAACAATGAGGAGGAGGAGGAGGAGGAGGAGGAGGAGGAGGAGGAGGAGGAGGAGGAGGAGGAGGCACCTGCTGGGGCACTTGCTGCAGCTCTTGCTGGGGCACTTGCTCCGCTGCCGGACCCCCACTCTCTGGGGCCCCTTTTCTTGGGGGACGGGCGACTCCGCTCGCCGCTGCCCGAGGCGCTGGCCCCGACGTCCCACGGAGGGCGAAGCGAAAGGAAAAGAGGAGGAGGAGGAGGAGGAGGAGGAGGAGGAGGAGGAGGAGGAGGAGGAGGAGAGGAGGAGGAGCGGGAGGGAGGAGGAGAGAGGAGGGGAAGGGCGAATAGAAGAGGAGGAGGAGGAGGAGGAGGAGTGAAGGGCGAAGAGAGGAGAGTGGAGAGCTAAGAGGAGGAGAAGAGAGAGGAGAGGGGAGGAGAGCACGGGCGAAGAGAACAGAGGAGAAGAGAAGATACGAGAACAGAAGAGAAACGAGGAGGAGGAAGAGGAGGAGGAGGAGGAGGAGGTGGAGAAGGATTGGCGGAAACAGCAGACGCAACCGCGTGGCCTTGGCCCCCTGGCCGACAGCACCCACCGGGGTGGGGATGGATGTATGTACGTATGTCAGTTCCTTCGGCCTTCGCGGGGACCTATCCCCATCTGGCGCATCAGGATGCTGAGCTTGCCCATCATGAGAAACACTCTTGAGGAACCGAACTCTATACAACGACAATTTGTCCGGCCCCGCGCCGAAACTCGACATACTGTAAAAGATATCCGATACTGGTGTTTACGGGATCCTGGTGTATACGTTGCTCGTGGTTTGCCTGGATAAAGGGAAAACAAATATACACCACACAAACCCCGACGTCGTCCCCGACCCTCGAAAAGTCCTGGGATTGCAACACAGCTCGCCACTGGTAATGTATATGCTCCAGCTTCCGACATCATGGGGAACAATCTCTCCATCTTGAAGGGCGGGCTTGTGGGGCTGAGATACACGTGCACGGCCCAGTGGGGATAGGAACAGGTCAGACGATGCTGATGAGCAGGAGTGTCAGGCTCCGGGCTAGAGGCCTCCCAAACGGGGTCCGAGTAGATAGGGTCGAAGGACCGCGCCGCATCACCGATGCGTCGCCGATGCGCAGAGAAAATCTGGCTTTTCACGTCGGCGATGCGGCGCGATCCTCCGACACCACCTGCTCGGACCTTATCTGAGCGGCCTGGATGGGCTGCGCCCAGACAGCCCCCGAGGTAGTCCCGGCTGGACTCCACGGGCGTCCCGAGCAAGCGGGGCCCCAACGAGCGCCCCGAGTAGTCTGGCCTCAACGGGGCGGTCCCAACACGCGGAGCGCGCAGGAGGCAGAGCCAGGACGTGGAGACCGCCCCAGACTGCTCGGGGTGCCTGAAGAGGCCAGCCGGGCTACGTACTCCGGGGGGCAGATCTCAGGATGTTTACTTTGTACCATTCTAGCAAGTTCACTTGCATAGGGGGGGAGGGGGGAGGGGGCGAGGCCCGGAAGAAAACCTGGACTTCACGCAAGTCGGGACCCACTGGCGCTCCATGTCGGCCCAGCGCTGCTCGAACTGGCGGCGAAAAGGGGGGGAGGGGAATGGCACGCGAGTGCACTCGCCTGAAGGCCGGCCAGGACTACACGTCGTTCATTTCTAATCGTGCTCATTTCTAATTGTGCTCGTTCCTGATTGTTCCCGGCCCCCTGGTGGCCAGGAAGAGGCCCAGGACAGGAGAATTAGAAATGAGAGGATCTTGGCCCCCCCAAAAAATCGAGGCATCTTCGAAGACCTAGAACTGAACAGATGTGTGCACCTGAGGGGGGCCGTCTGCGCGCTGCCCGAAGCCTTCTTTGCCGGGAGCAGGCGCGCCAGGCGGCAAGGACGGCGCCTCAGCTGCCCGGCGCCGCCCGGGCTGCGGCGGCCCGGCCCTCCTCCGCGCCACCGCCCAGGGCCACGGTGAAGCTGCAGGACGGCAGCTTCGCGGCCTGCACCTCTCTAGACAGGCGCGCTCCACTACTCGCAAAGTGACTGCTCGCAAATGGCCTGGATCCCCCGCGGGGGATGTACGATTGATGACGTCAACTTAAGCAGGCATGTGTTTTTCGGGACGTTTGCGAGTAGGCACTTTGCGAGTAGTGGAACGCGCTCGGTGACTCTCGGAGGACCCTGAGACCCTGGCGTCCCAAAGTTTCTCGAGCCGGGCGTCCTCGCCTGCTGTCGGGCGTCCGAGACCCTCGCAAATCGATTGAGGCCTTGAACAAGGGCGCTGAAGTCCGGTGTCCGGGGCTCTGGGCGCGCTGTTGTGGGATGCTGCAGTGCTTTCGCCACGTCGGATCCCAAGGGAGGGCCAGCTTCCCAGACCCCCGACGTCGTAATTCTGTTCGCAGCAGCGTCGACCCTTCGAAGTCTCGAGTCTCGACCCCCTCCCCGTGACCGGTTGTTTGTTCCCGAATCTTTTTTTGACGGCCCCGAGGCACAGCGAGGCCCCCCAGAGGCCGAACATGGCGACAACCTCCCGTCGTGATGTTTTCGCAGCGCGAGGAGGGTCTGGGCTCTTGCTCGCCCAGCCCAGGTCCGCTCGAGGCCCGTTTCCAGACCTCTCCGGGGCTCCATCCTTTGAGCAGGGACCGACCGTCCCAGCATTCCTATAGTCATGCCACGAAGTGTTCTCAGAACCCACAATTTTTCCAAGCACGAAAACCACTGTTCTTGGAACACAAACCCGATCTGTCAAAACAAGACAGGCACAGCCAGACGTGTTCTAATAACATGACGTGGAAACCACAAGGACAGACCCCCCTTTAGTAAAACGTGGTTGAGTGAAAACGACCTGAGGCCCAAACCTGTCGGGCGCAAGCCTGGAAAATGACGGCCACGCCCTCTCGAGAACCGAAAACGGACAATTCACTAATCGACGTGTCACTGTTGGGGTTCTGTCCGCCCCCGAACAAAAGGTTCGGTTCTCATAACATTGTTCGGTAGGCCCACATAGGCACGCCAGGATGCTTCGGGGCCAGGAGTCATGGCCCGCTCTTCGAGGTGCGCCCGGCCCTGGCGGCTAGGACGCCTCCGGGAGGCCCCGAGGGAGGAGGGCCGCCGCTCCCTGGCATGCGATGTCCGGGCTTTTCCACCACGGCCTCCCTGAAGGGGCCCTGGGACACACAAATAAATACACACAAATAAAAGGATTCCCCATATTTTCTTATATGTTCTGGGTTTTTGTCTTCCCCCCCACTTCCCATACTCTCCCATATTTTCTGGGGAATCGACGATTAATTTTGTCTGTGTGTTTTTTCCCCTCCTGACTCTCCGGAAGTCCCGACCCATTCCCCAGGGCTCGAGTAGGGGATCGACGACGGAATTGATTGACCCAGAAATTGATTCGCTGGTCGAATGTACAAAACTGCGCAGAATGCTCCATGAATCGTCACACACTCTACGCATGTTTCGCAAGTTCGACGAGACAATCAATTTAAGGGTAAATCAATTCTGTAGTCGATCCCCTGCTCGACGGGCCAGTTCCAGGGCTGGACCTAAACATTGTGTTTCGATGTGTTGTTCGTTTTATCGTTCGTTCTGCTCTACCTGTTCTCCTGTACCTCCCTCCCATGCGAATAACAAGACACAGCCGAAGTCCAGCAAAACAGCGTTTAGGTCCAACCCTGGCTTGAATTTGAGAAAAACGCCGCCCTGATTTTTGTTCAAGGCGTTGCATGCCTGGGCCGTTGTTCCGCGGGGCGCCCAGGGGGGAAATGAGAGGGAGCAAGCCTTCTCAGAAGCCGGCGGGGCTTCTCAGAAGCCTCCCAGCCTCCCGAGAAGCCGCCCAGACCTTCGGATAGCACAAACAAAAACTTCCCCAGAATACCAGAGGCCGCCCCCTCTGACTTGCATTCTTGGGCTCGCCGCCGATTTGTCCCGACTGAGTATCGTTTAACCGATCCCCATCCCCGGCGGCGTGGCCTGGGCCCCGCTGGCCGATTTACCCCCCTGGGTGGGGATGTAGGTCGTTCCCTTCGGATTTCGAGGGGTGCATCCCCAACTGGGGTGGTAATTCGGTGGGGGTCTCGAAGGGGATGGGGATAGGGATCGTTTAAAGGATACTGACCGACGGGCCCCTCTCGGAGCCTCTGCGCTGACGGTGCACTCCACCCCGACGGCCTGCAGCGCCCCGCGCAGCGCGCCGCACGGGAAGGCCAGGTGCAGCTGCGCGGCCTCCTGCAGCTCCGCATCCCGCGCCGGGGAGCCCGAGGGCACGACAGTCCGGAGGAGGGCCAGTGTCTACTGACTACCTACCAGACCACCCCAACCCAACCCGAAGACCCGAATTTCGGGTTGGGGGGGTACGGGCTTCATACATGACTTGTCAATGTTCCCCGCCCCCCCCCCCACTGGAAATGGAGGGCAAATCGGGGCCTTCGGGTTGGGTTGGCGTGGTTTGGTGGGCGGTGAGCAGGGACCGACCGTCCCGGCATTCCTATAGGCCTACCACGAAATGTTCTTAGAACCCTGAAGTGTTCTCAAAAAACAAAAGCAATGTTCTTAGAACATAAGCCCGATATGATAAAACAAAACATTCCCGGCCAGAAATGTTCTCAGAACCTTTCGTGGAAACGACAAACTGTTCTTAGAACATTGTTGGGTAGGCCTATAGGCGAGCCAAGACGCTTCGCCACTGCTTGAGAGGGTGGAGCCGTCCTCTTTCCAGGCACATCCAGAGCAAAAGGTCTGCCTTGCATTGTGCTGGGACTACTTCAACGTGTGTCGCCGCGCCGTTTGTTCTTGACGTGCCCAGGTGGACGACGCCGTCACCGTGCTAAACCCACGGCAAACCTTGCACCCCGAGGAATGCGCCTGGCGGCAGGGTCGAAACCAGCTGCGCGCAGCACGACGCCCCCTTTCCCTATCCCCCCCTATCCCGACCCGACAGTCGAGACAAGGGTCGCTCTGAGGCCTTCGGGGTGGCCCTCCCCTCAGATCCTGGCGTCGCAGTGTGTTCGGGTCGGGCGTTTTCGCAAAACTTCGGGCCCCGGGGCCCTCACAGATCGATCCGGCTCGAACATGCAGCAGACAATCAGGGTCCAAGGCTTGGGTCGTGTGATTCTCGCGATGATGTGATTCATTTGTTCGCGTCGTCGGATCTCGGGGACGTCGCCACGGCCGGACCCAGTGCGGAAACTTGGTGCGCTGGGAACCCGGGAGGGGTCTGGAGACGGATTCTGAGGAGGGCGTTTTGCTTTAGATTCCGCAGAGCTTACTTGCATGGGGGTGGGAAAGGGGCGTGGCGAGGCCCGAGAGAAGATCTGGACTTTATCCAAGTTGGGACTCACCTGCACACCGCTTCGGCCCAGCGCTGCTTGCAGTGGCGGAGGGAGGGGGGGAGGGGGGGGGGAGAAATCCCTGCGACACCCTGAGATAGGAGAGGTGTTTTTTTCGCTCGCCTCGCTCGAGGGTGGGACCGCTCGGACATGCTGGAGCGTCCGTGCACATGCCTGAATCTTGGGCATTAGAGTTAGGTCGGGCGTGTCCCCCTACAGACGGAATTTGGAGGAAAAAATAAAAATAATCTACAAATGCTCAGACAAATAAGCGAAAATAATAAAAAAAATCGTCCCCAGACAATGGTTTAAATATTCTTGAATATTCCTCCTGTAGAGGGACAGGCCCGACTTAACATTAGAGGGAGGGGGAGTGCAAATGCCATGCAAACAAAGTAGCGAAAAGCCACCTACAGAGAAGCCCCCGAGCGGACTCGGGCCAGGCGGGAGGGCAGGCCGCCGTCGTCCCAACGCCGCGGTCTGACGGTCCGATGTTTCCCATGCGCCCCCCTCCAAAGTCCCGACCCTCGGCGGGCAAGATGTCTATCCATATCCACTGCGTCTTGGTCTTTCTGGTAAGGGGGGCCACAGCGCCGAGGCACAGTGGAAGTTTATAAAAATGCATCCTCTGGGTGACAGATGTCTATCCATGTTCGCTGCAACGCTTGCTGGGGGAGAAGCAAGCCCGAAACTCAATGACACAACGTGCATTGATACAAAACCTGTCCGCACCCTTTCCACGAGGCCTTTCATGCCGAATCGCTTTGTGGCGGCCTGGAGCCCGGCGAGTGCCCCCGCGGAAGCCGCGAAGACGGTGAAACACCTCCAGCATTGCTTTGTGACACGTTGGATGTCTTGGGGAAAGGTACCGATACCGCTACTCCCCGGGCCTTTCCCGGGGTGCATTCTGGCCAGAATTTCGAGGCGAATCCAACGGTTGCGACGAGGGCCTCCCAGGAGGCCCAGAAAGGGGAAAACGGCCGAAATGTAGCGGTATGGGTGCCTTTTCCTCCTGTGATGTCTGGGCCACGGGACCTCCTCCGAGAAGTGCTCCAACCAGCGGAACGACTCGTCCTCAATGATGTAGTGGCCCTTCTTGTTGAGCTGCAGGCGCGTGGCCGGTCCGCGGAACAGGCAGGCCCAGAAGTCCTTGCACACGTACCTCCAGGGCTCGACCTGAACAGCGTTCCCTGTGCTCGTTTTAAGAGGCCTCCCATATGGAGTCGGAGTACACTAGGAGCTCGACCACAAGAAACCTTCCACACGAAACCCAACCCTGAGACCCCAGGACGTCCACTGCCTTTTTGATGTGGGCGCGTCACGTTTTTTCCGTGGTAAACCTTCGAAACCCAAGAAACCCAGGACTCGCTGGAGGCAAGCAGGGTCTTTCTTGGCATGGGCTCCTCCCACTGTAGATGGGGTCGAAGGCTCGCGCCGCGTCGTCGATGCATCGGCGATGCACTGGAGATGCACCGGCGATGTCGTCGGCGATGCATTGGCGCCGTCTGCGTGGCGAAAGCTGGGCTCCGCATCAGGCCGCATCGCCGATGCACTGGCGATGCGGCGCGATCCTTCGACCCCATCTGGGAGGCTTAGAAATCTGGGCTCGCTCTTCCTCGTTCTGGCTCCGTTCCGCCTCTGCCGCGAAACGGCACCAAAACAAACAGGGCCCACCAGAGCACAGTTTTGATCGAGCCCTGGAGACCGTTTTTCTTGAATCGGCGATAATCCGGGCTATCCCGGGGGGGGGCGGAGAGGAGAGGGCCGGCCGATAACCTAACTTCGCGCTGTGGGCAGCCCTGCATATGCCCGCGCCCCCCCACCCAAGACCTGCGCAACCGGCATGGTTAGGTTATCCTGGGGGGGGGGGGGGGGGAAAGGAGGCTTTGGACGCCCGAAATGGGTACGGGAAAAATGGGTACAATGCCCAACAACAAATGCTGCCCCAAACCAACAGCGGCCGCTGTTGGGCGGGCGGCCTCCTGTCTCGAATGGACACAGGCCGCGGCGGCGCGGACAGCGAGCCCTGTCCAGAATGAACAAGAACTGCTGTTGGGCATCGTACCCATTCTTTCCGTGCCCGTTTCGGGCGTCCAGAGGGGCAAGCCTCTCACCCAGGACCTGCGCAACCAGCATGGTTAGGTTATCTTGGGGGAGGGGGGAGGGGGAGGAGAATGAGGAGGACGAGAAGGAGGAGGGGAAGAGTGGGATGGGGAGGAGGACGAGAAGGAGAAGGAGGGGAGGAGGAGGAGGAGGAGGAGGAGGAGGAGGAGGGGGCGGAGGAGTGGCAGGAGGAGAAGGAGGAAGAGGAGGAGGAGGAGGAGGAGGAGGAGGAGGAGGAGGAGGAGGAGGAGGAGGAGGAGGAGTAGGAAGAGGAGGAGAAGGGGGCAAGCCCGATAACCCGGGCTATCGCCGGCCGCTCCAAAAAAACAGTCTCCCGCGCACCTCATGGCACTCTTCTCGGCGCCGATGGGTCGGAGGGGGGCCCGCGGAGACCAACGGCAGCCCTCGCGCCCGGCCCGAGTCCTATCGCAGTCGCTCCCCCAAAGATCTCCCGGGTGCACGGTGTCCCCCGGGGCCGTAGGCGATCCGAGGAGGAGGAAGAGGAGGAAGAGGAGGAGGTGGAGGAGGAGGAGGAGGAGGAGGAGTGGGAAGGGGAGGAGGAGGAGGGGGAGGAGGAGTGGGAAGGGAGGAGGAGGAGGAGGAGGAGGAGGAGGAGGAGGAGGAGGAGGAGGAGAAGAGGAGGAGGAGGAGGAGGAGGAGGAGGAGGAGGAGGCTAATTCTAATTCTAATTCTATCTACGGCGGGGGTCCTGCTCTAGGGAGGCCGCTTCTTCACATTCACGCCAAATCAGGGAAAGAGGTGCCCGAGTTTGGTGGCAACCCCCTGGACAGGCGCGACAACACCTCGCGCCCCGCCTTCTAGGGGCATGGCCCTCGGGCTGGGTCCCGCACTCTCGATTCAGGATGCGGGGAGGAGCAACTGTGCAAAAACCTCCACAGAGAGTGCAAACCAGAACACCTCGCTGCGCCGCCAGTCGGTGGGAGGGGTGACAGCAGTCGGCCAAGGGGTGATCCAGGGCTTCCCCACACAAGCCCGACGGCCCCAGGGCAGCAGGGGCGGGGTCCACGCCCGTGTCGCCCCTCGCCTCCCGCGGAGCAAGCAGCTGGACTCGCTGCTGGATGATACACCGAGGCTTGCACGGCGTGGGCCAGAAGCACGCCAGCTGGCCTCTCAGGCTAAAGCTCAGTCCACACTGCTTGCACTTGATGCGTGCTTTCTGCACAGCGGGCTCGTGGCCCGCATCTCTCAACCTGCAAATCCGTTCGGAGAGAGAGGAGACTACCCCGCGAGTTCGCCGCGGCTCACGGAGTCCACTCTTCTCACCCTCCGAAGAAAACAAAACTTCACGCTGCACGGCCAGGATCCTTTTTTTTTTTTTTTTTTTTTTTTTTTTTTTTTTTTTTTTTTTTTTTTTTTTTTTTTTTAAAAAAAAAAAAAAAAAAAAAACAAAAAAAAAAAAAAAAAAAAAAAAAAAAAAAAAAAAAAAAAAAAAAAAAAAAAAAAAAAAAAAAAAAAACTTGCACGGCAAGCTCATCAGCCCGCACAGTGAGGGAAACGTGATCTTTACTTAACTGGGCCTTCTCAGCAGCCCAATCAGCAATGCGGCCCGCAGCCTGATTTTAATACACTTCTACATCAAATAAAAACATGTTCTCGGCCTGGGCTTGGGTGGGGTGCCCTTTGGCCCAGATCAGTCGGAAAGACCCCTGACGTTCGGAATGCGCGTTATGAAATTCAGCCCACAAGTCCAGCATGCTAGATCCCCTCTTCGACCGCAAACTGTTTCTGGCACCCTTCGCGACCAACAGGCAGCCACAATAAACTCGAACGTCACCGACACTAGCTCGCATCAGCTCGATCAAAGCATAGAGCTCGGCCCTCGGAGAAGACGGACGCGCGCACGGCAAATATCCACACCGCGCAGCATCTATCCTGCCGTCGGGGCCGAGGTGCACGAAGGACCATCCACATCGCCTTAACCTCCAATCCTTAGAGTATTTGCCTCCAGAACCATCAACACCCCAGACGCCCCCACGCGTGAGTTCCCCCCTCAACGCACCTTCCCCCATCCCAAACAAACCGCGGAGGAAGCCCTAAGGAGTCGCCCAGAGACGGGAGCCCGCGACACCAAAACTCACCTTATGATTTTCGGCGATGGCCCTGGGAGCCAGGAAGTCAATAATTTTCAACCGTGTGGTCAGGGATATCACGATTGCACACGCACTGCCAGTATCGATGCAACGGGGACTCAGGAGCTTCTCCACATCTCCAACACTGCCCATCACTAGCAGAAGCGCACCCAGCAGCGTGAAATCGCTCTTCAGGCCAAAGGGCAGCAATGAGGACATTGCGCAACATGCCAGCTGACTCGCGCTCGCCGTCACGAGCAAGCCTGCGCAAAAAGCGCCGCGCAGGGGTAAAATCAACTCGTCTTTCCAAGCCTTTACCACAGAAGTGCTTCGACGCCATGACTTAGCAGAGCACGTCTTCAAAAGCGCACCCCAAAGCTGGAAAGGGAAATCGCCATCCTTCAACCTTAAAACCGAATCCCCAGTACGCCAGAACACTGGTGACTCAGCCTGCCAGCCTAGATCTCGAAGCACAGCTATCGTGGCCGCCATCGGCCCTCGAACAACCTGCCAACGGTACTTGGTCTGATCCATCTTCGTACATATTCTCATCCAAACATCAGCACATAACCTGCGAGATTTATGATCGAGATCAGCCCAAGCCAAGGCCCATCCATTGAGCTGTTCATAGCGAAGCCTAAACCGGTGATCATCCTTCGCAGCCCCCAGCAAGCCAAGCAAAGTGGCGGTGCAAGCCCCAGGGGCCCACAACCCAGGGCACGTGGCAGCCTGGGCACGCGTGGACTTCACCTGCCCAGGAGAAAGCCCCAGGACCTCATGGCCCCACGACCCCACGGCCATGACCCCAGGCTTATACAGCTTGCTAGCTCGACCAACAAGCCGAGCAAGAAAACTCACCTTTTTGCTCTTGCGATAAGCAGTAGCACGCCGCTGTCGCAACTTACTCATATTACGGCGAAGACCTGCAGAAGACATGACCCCCAGATCTCGGACCGAGTCCTCCCACTGAATTGGTAGGTTGACTGAAGCAAACATCTGCATGATCTCGGCTCCGAGCTCTTTGTGGGAGACCAGCGACGTACTTTTGTCAGCAATAACGGTGCCAGCAGCATCCAGCTCGCGGCGCATGTGCAAAGCGGCTGGCACGAATGCGGCAAGAACGTCCTCTCTGGATCACTGCTGCGTCTGAGTGATATCGTCCACGTATCCCTTGACGCGGACTGGCAAGAAGGAGGCGTGCGCCTGGCCCAGTATATCATACAAGTAAACCTTAATCCACGGCATGGATTGGCCACAACCAGGCAAGATGCCCATACCCGTGGGTATGAGGTCAGAACAAAAACCCTGGACCTTGAGGATACGCGGAGCTTCATGCATCACTATCCCCAAATACAGGAAGAACAAATGGTAACCCATTTTCACGGCGAGTCCAGCAAGGCGACAAGGGCCGACAGTGTCAAAGAACTTCTTAAGGTCCCAATACGCTCCGACCGAGCACAGCCCCAGATATCTGGCCATCTCATGGCCAAGCTCTCGGTTAAGCGCAGCCTGCAGCGCCGAAGACCCTCGGATCGCAGTGTCCCAATGGTTGACCTGGGCCAGGGACCAATCTTCAATATGGCTTCCACGAGCCTTGCAATAGACTCGGTACAGGGAGGGGCACTTGCACACAGGTCTTTCACTCTCAGCCGACTTAGGCAACAACGCTATGATGCCCAACAAACTCTGCGCCGGCCACATGAGCCATTTCTCACAACTATTCAGGGGGTGGGTGCACGACTTCACCGCATCTGGCGGCAAGGAAACAAGCATACGAAGGGGCCACTGGTCCACGCCAACAGCCGTGTCTTCACGGAACAGACGAGCAGCTCTCTGAATACCTCCTGGTTCCATGGGTTCGAGACCCTCCAAGGACCTCAGGGCCAAAGGTCGGAGGGCATCCAGGACCCCAGACAGCTGCTCACGCTTGTCACCTTTAGCCGTCCAGAATGTACCCCAAAAGTCCTCGCGGTATTTCATCATCTCATCAGGGAGCTGATGCACGTCAGCTGGTGCAACTAAAACTTCGAGGTCGGCACCTTGGTCGCGCCGCAGCCACGGGTGGACTCGCTTTGCTCCCCGAGGCAGCGCCTTGAGGAGCCGCTGCTGCATGCCATCCTTAGTCTCCGCGCGCGCAGCGCTCCACGCCTTAGTCAGAGTAGCGCTGATCGCATCGGACAGCGAATTAAGATCGTCCAGACCCTGGGGCAGGCTAGACAAGTGAGCCCGCCGCCATTCAGGGGCCCGCGCATCTCCTGCTACATGAAATTCAGCCACCCGAGGAGCAAGGCCAGCCAGGATACCCCTCAGGATAGCGCACGACGTCCAGGAACGTTGAGTAATACTCATTCGATACTCCCAAAACTTCTGAGAAACATGGGCCCAGAAACAGAGCGAAGGTTGCCAAAAGCTTTCTCCACAACCCCCCCGTCGCCCAACTTTCCCGAACTTGAAAATAGGGCACGCACCTCTGGATCCTTCAGGAGGGGCAAGTTCACGCGCCGAGGCCCGGGTCAAATACATCTTCTCAGTGGCCTTGCTCCAGAGTGAGTGCTGCAACGAGAGGTCAGACGACGAATTCTCAGAGACATGCGGCAACAGCTTCAAACTGAGGGGGAAGCATATCATGCTCTGACACCTGCTCTAGATACTGAGTCCAAGGTAGGTCGGTTCCAAAGCAAGGCGGGACGGAAGGTGCACGCTGACGCCGCCGCAGCTCCTGCTCGACCACTGCACACGTCAAAGACACCGCAAGGCAGGCGTGAGTCTTGAAGGGGAGGGGCAAATTTAGCCACGCGCAAGTAATCAGCAATATCAACAGAGGCCACCACGTAATCAATAAGTGACCCCCTCCCCTGGGCACAGGTAAACTCAACTCCTCCTGGTTGGATGGCGCGAGCATGGCACAGTTTAGGAAAACCGCTTAAGTCAAGGTCCGTAACCAGGATGTTAAAGTCACCCATGAGGATCCAAGGAATAGTTAATGTGCCCACGAACTCAGAGATCTCACGCAACCGATCAATATTCACCCCACTTACACCCAGGCCGTCATCTAAGTAAACAACTCCTACAGCAAGAACAGCTTGCTTGGTTTAAGCTGCAAAAACAGCCAGTGGCTTCCAGAGCCCTGGTCCAGGAGGGGCGAATCCGAAGCAAGGAAACGCTTGAAACAAAGACCTCTACTCACGACGGCCCCTACTCCCCCATGGTGCAGGCCCCCTCCAGGGGCGCGGGTGGCAAGGGTGAAGTGGGGCCTCCACTTCATCTGATTGCACTTCCGTTTCGCAAGACTACAGGCATGCTCGCAAAAAAAAGAATCCATCACCAATCGGTTTCACTTCCTGGGCGAACGACAGTGAAACCGCATTCCAACTCGTGATACTGCAGAACAGGAACTCGACTGTAGCTGGCGCTGGCTGCAGACGGTGGCGGCTCAGGGGCCTGCTAGGCCTCACGCCGCCTCCAGCGCCTTGACCTTCACCTCGATCAGGGCTAGGAAGAAGACGCTCGTTCACCTGCAGCGCCAGCACCTGGTCCTCCCGCAGCTGCGGGCCCATAATCTCCATCTGGTACGGCTCCCACTCGAGGCTGGAACTGCTGCAGCATGCGGTTGAAGGTCGCCGTCGCATCGGACCGCACCACTCGAGCACGCTTGGCGGCCTTCTGATTAGCTTGCTTGCTGAGCAGCTCCTCAAGCCGATCTCGCTCAGCCTCCTGCAAGGGCTGTTCGATGGCTCGCTTCTTGAGTTCACGTAGTTCATCGAGACGATCTGTGCCCAAATCATAGGCAACATCAGACAACTCATCATCATCACGTTCAAGTGCGACACGCATCTGCTGCGCCGCATACCAGAACTGGTACTGCTGATCATGTAGCTGGCACCACGCACGAAGTTCTGGCTCACCCATGCTCGTGAAGTTGGGCGGCGGCTGTGGCAGCGCACCCGATCCAGCAGCTTCCCCGCGAACATCAGCATCAGCAGCATGTACAGGTACCTGCGCAGGCGGCTGCGGGCCTGGCGCAGGTTGAGCCCAAGGCGCGCCTGCCCCACCAGGCGCAGCCGCGCCCGCAGGAGCAGCAGCCGCCGCGCGCCGCCGTGCTGCAGCCGCGGCGTCGGCCTGGCGGCCCTCTTCACGCCTGCACTCTTCACGGTGGGCATCAGCGGAGAACAACTGCTTGGTCCCCTGCGCAGCTCTCGTCTCCTGTTGGCACTGGGCCAGCCAACCCACAGCCGAGGCATGTGCAGCCCCTGCCTGCTGTAGGGCTTCACGATGTTTGACAGCAGCTGCCAGACGGGCTTCGACCTCAGCCTGGGCGATGCGCTCTGCCCGCGCCGCCTTCTCGACCTCCTTCGACAGCTCCGTCTGGCGTGCCGCCACCTTCTTCTCCAGCTCGTTCGCACTGACGGGCTCTGGCGGTGTGGCTGCCTGAGCATCAGCTGCAGCCGCCTCTGCAATGGCAGCCTGCAGCGTCGCGGCGATGGAGGGGTGCAGGGCGGCAAGGTCACTGAGCTGCTTGGCGAGTCCAGCCTCTTGCCCAGCACCAGCCTGCGCACTGCCGCCTGCCTCGGGAGAAGCGCCGCTCGCCAGGTAACTGCCTCCACATTTCGAGCAGCACTAGTTCCCGTATCGGTCGTACTCCCAGTGGCCGCAGGCAGCGCACACGGAGTAGCCACCTCCCCCACGGCGTTGGCGGCCACCACCATCGTCGCCGCGAGCGCCACCATCACGCCGGCCACGGCCAGCCACAGCACGCCACGGAGTGCGATACCGCCAAGCCATCGCTCTCGACGCCTGGCAGCTGAGGGGAAAGTGCTCCTGCAGGAGCTCACCAAAGCAGACTGCAAGAACCGACCAGGGCAGACTGATCGGGCCAGGAAACACTCGAATGCAAGCCGCGGACTAGCGGTATCCACATGTTCCCCTGTGGAATAAGGCATCTTGAGCCAAAATGGCTAAGGGGAGGAGGAGGAGGAGGAGGAGGAGGAGGAGGAGGAGGAGGAGGAGGAGGAGGAGGAGGAGGAGGAGGAGGAGGAGGAGGAGGAGGGGAGGAGGAGGAGGAGGAGGAGGAGGAGGAGGAGGAGGAGGAGGAGGAGGATTGGAGGAGGAGGATTGGAGGAGGATTGGAGGAGGAGGAGGATTGGAGGAGGAGGAGGAGGAGGAGGAGGAGGAGGAGGACGGGTCGCCTAAGCCCTTCGGAGAAGCCCTCCAACTCCCGGGGTCCACCCTGACCCTGGGCGGGCGCAGCCCCAGACACATGCGACAGCCTGACCTTTCCAAGGCGCGGCCCCCCCGGAAGCTCCGGACCCCTCTCCCCGCGTAGCTTGCTGACGATGCCGGCGGGGAGTTCGGGGCCCTGCAGAGGCGGAGGCGGAGGAGGAGGCGGAGGCGGAGGAGGAGGAGGAGGAGGAGGAGGAGGAGGAGGAGAAGGAGGAGGGGGAGAAGGAGGAGGAGGAGGAGGGGGAGGAGGCCCCCCCGAGGCAGAACTTTGAGAAAGACCTCCACCCTGACTTGGTCAGGACGCTGCATGTCTGGGGACGTTGCGACGAGAACTCTCGCCATCGCTCGGACGCCCATTCCCAGTGGATTTGTCGGCTTCGCGCCGCGCTGATTTTTCCGCAAGAGGATCCAAAATGCTCCTCGCCGAGAGAAAAAAAACGCACACGACCGAGCGATGACAGGCTCATTCGCCAGGGGACCCATAAGGCGGAAGCACGGCCAGAGAGAGCCGCCGTTGCTAGAGGCCTCCTAGATGGGGCTGAAGTAGATGGGGTCGCAATATCGCGCCTACATCGGCGCTGCATCGGTGATGCGCCGGCGATGCATCGTCGACGTCGGCGATGTATCGGCGAGGTCGACGTGAAGAAGATCGGGCTCCACATCGAGCCGCATCGGCGATGCACCGCCGGTGCGGCGCGATCATCCCCCGACCCCATCCACTCGGATAGGAGGCTTAAACACCCAGACCCCCGACGTCATGTTTTTTTCATCACGTCGACCCCCGGAGGTCTCGAGTCTCGACCCCGGACTGGTCTTCCACCCATGAGCCGTTTCAATTGACGGCCTCGCGATAGGCCCGGGCAAGGCCCCGGAGGCCGCAAATGGAGACAACAACCTCCCGTCGTGACTCTTTCACGGCGCGAGGGGGGTCTGCATAGCGAGCTGAGTCTCGTTTAACCGATCCCCATCCCCACGGCGTGGCCTGGGCCCCACTGGCCCATTTTACCCCCCTAGATGGGGATACGGGTCGTGCCCTTCGAGTTCCGGGGGGTGTACCCCCAACTGGGGTGCTATTTTGGGGGGGTTCTCGAAGGGGATGGGGGATGGGCATGGGGATCGGTTGCACGATACCGACGAGCCGCCGCTGCCTCGCCGGGCGCCCCTCCGGGCTGGGGAAGCGCGCCGCGGCGAGCCGGGTGGCCACCCGCAGGCCCGCGGCGTGGCCGGCGGCGTCGAGCCGCACCGCCGCCAGCTCGGGCCCCAGCCTCTCGTGGAGGCAGCCGGCCGGGGGCTGCGAGGAGAGCCCCTGGGCTTCTGCTGCTCCCATCGCACTGATGAAATGCTCCCCAGTGTGTCCACCAAATTTGCTTTGGGAAGGTATTAGAACAATACTGACAGAGACGAATCGACAGACATTCGATGACAATAATGTATTTTACCTCGGAGCCAAAGTGGTTACAGTCCACGGTCCTCTCCCAGGGCCCGACACGTGCTGGCGATCAAGGCTACAGCAGGTTGGAACGTGCCAACCCTGGGCGCAGGGGGTCCACAGGGGCTTCCAAGGAGGCCCCCCACGCAGACGCCCTCGCGCTGCGACAAAAAATCACGACGGGAGGTTTTGCGCTATTTTCGGCCTCTGGGGGTCCTCGCCGGGCCTCGGGACCGTCAAAACACAACCCGGGACGAGAAACCGGTTCTGGGGAAGTGTTCCAGACCTCTGAGGGTCGACGTAGTGAACAAATCACGACGTCGGGGGTCCATGGGCTTTGTGGGCCCTGGAAGCGACAGGGCCATTTTTGGTTACCGGTTCCGGTTTGCCGTCTTTGTTCGCTGGTTCCGTCGCCGCTTTTGCTGCCGGTGCCGTCGCCGGTTTTGTTGCCGAATCTGGTTCCGGTTCCAATCTCGGAGCCGTTTTTCATGCCGGTTCCCTCTCGCCGTGTTTTTGTTCACCGTTCCCACTTTCAAGAGACATTTTTTCGAAAACTATGAGAAACGGCCCTGCCGTTTCCATTGTCCACTAAGCTCCGGAGTGAGGCTCCTTGTGATTTTTGTTTGGCATACTGCGGGGCTACATCAGGCCTGTGTGCGTAAAGCGGGCGGGTGGGGCCGTTGAGCGTGCGTGAAAAGTGCACGTTGGCATCCTGCATTTTAATGCTAGGCGCACGCCTAAACGAAAGTTTCGTGTGGTCGTTTTCGGTTTGGTCGTTCTGAATATGGCTGCTCATGGGTATGCCTGAACGAGTCCAGGGCGGTGGTGTTTCAAAACGAACTAACGACAGCCCACAGCACCCCTCACGAGGCCCAAATGGCCCCGGGGGGGTCCAAAATGGAGCGGCAAGCTGGGCTCTCCGTGGGGGTGAGGCTTCGGGCTGTACGCAGATAGCCCCCCCAGGCAGTCTCAGCTGGCATCAACAGGCCCCCCCGAGCAGTCCCAGCTGGCCTCAATGGGCCCCTGGACCAATCCAGGGCGGCTTCAACACCTCTGGGGCGGGGAGCGCCCTAGGGGCGCCGCCGGAGGTGGCGCCAGGGTGTTGAGACCGCCATGCACCACTCGGGGGGCCTGTTGAGCCCGACAAGGACTGCTCCGGGGGCCTGCTGAGGCCAGCCGGGACTGTCTGGGGGGGGAACTATCTGTCGCGACCCGAAACCTCATCACGCACCTTCCCAGACATGCGATGTCCTGATTTTGTCGATCCTTGGTGGCTGTTAATCATCCCGAATCCTTTTCGGACAGCCCCGAGGCCCGTGTCGAGGGCCCCCGCTGAAGCCGAAGACGGCCCAAACTCTGCCGTCGTGATTCTTGCACGACGCGAGCCTGCCCAGACCCCAGATGTCATTTTCCTCGACACCCAAAGGTCTCGACCCCTTCCCCAGGACCGGCTTCTCGCTCCGAGTCGTGTTTTGACGCTCCTGTGGCCCTGCAAGGGCTCCGGGAGGCCGACAATAGCGAAACGCCTCCAGCCGCGATCTTCGCCACGACGCGAGAGGGGGTCTGGGTGCGACGCCAGCGGAGGAGGCGGAGGAGGGGGGGAGGAGGAGGAGGAGGAGGAGGAGGAGGAGGAGGAGGAGGAGGAGGAGGAGGAGGAGGAGGAGAGGAGGAGGAGGAGGAGGAGGAGGAGGAGGGAGGAGGAGGAGGAGGAGGAGGAGGAGGAGGAGGAGGAGGAGGAGGAGGAGGAGGAGGAGGAGGAGGAGGAGGAGGAGGAGGAGGAGGAGGGGGGGTCTGCAAGCGACGCGAGCGTGCCTGGGCTGGGCCAGGGACCCCTCTGGCAGCCCCCTCGCTGACCATCTCGGCCGCCAGCAGCGCCAGCGCACTCTCTGCCACCTGCCGCTCGCCCAGGGCCTCGCTCGCCCCCGCGGCGCCGCTCGGCGCCATCGGCTCCGCCATGGCGCGGCGGCAACCTGGCCGGGCCGGCCGTCCCCGCAGCCCGGCCGCCGCAGGCCGCCGCTGCGGCCGCAGGCCGCCGCTGCGCAGCGCGGCCTAGGGCCAAAATGACCGCGGAGAAGACAATGGTGTTCTGATATACGAGACAGGCATTCGAGCACACCCAGACGTTCCGCTGGCACAATGGCGGATGCATAGAGGAGGAAAGGAGGAGGAGGAGGAGGAGGAGGAGGAGGAGAGAGGAGGGGAGGAGGAGGAGGAGGAGGAGGAGGAGGAGGAGGAGGAGGAGGAGGGAGGAAGAAGAAGAGGAAGGGGAGGAAGAGGAAAGAAAAAGGAGGGGGAGGAGGAGGAGAAGGGGAGGAGGAGGAAGAGGAGGAGGAGGAGGGAGGGAGGAGAAGGGGAAGGAGAGGAGGAGGAGGAGGAGGTGGAGGAGGAGGAGGAGGAGGAGGAGGAGGTGAGGAGGAGGAGGAGGAGGAGGAGGAGGAGGAGGAGGAGGAGGAGGAGACGGGAAGAGGAGGAGGAGGAGGAGAAGGAGGAGGAGGAGGAGGAGGAGGAGAAGGAGGAAGAGGGAAGACGAGGAGAAGGAGAAGGAGGAGAAGGGGAGGAGGAGGAGGAGGAAGAGGAGGGAGGAGGAGGAGGAGGAGGAGGAGGAGGAGGAGGAGGAGGAGGAGGAGAGGAGGGGGGAGGGAGGAGGAGAGAGGAGGAGGAGGAGGAGGAGGAGGAGGAGGAGGAGGAGGAGGAAAAGGAGGGGAGAAGGAGGAGGAGGATGAGGAGGAGGAGGAGGGAGGAGGAGAACGATGAGGAGGAGGAGAAGTAGGAGGAGAAGGAGGATGAAGAAGATGGATGAGGGCGAATGATGATGAGGATGATGATGATGCCGATAGTAATGCTGAAGATGTCGATGATGATGTTGCTGATGATGATGCTGATGATGCTGCTGATGATGATGCTGGTGGTGATGATGTTGGTGATGATGTTGCTAATGCTGATGATGACGATGATTATGCTGATAGCACTGAGGATGAATATGATGATGATGACGATGGCAATGCTGATGATGGTACTAAAGATGCGCATGCGGATTATGGTGATGCTGATACTGCTGCTGATGATGATGATGTCAATGACGTCATTGATGATGCTGATGATGCGGATGAGGCTGCTGATTATGATGATATTGATGATGATGCTGATGACTGTGATGATGATGTTGATGATGGAAATGCTGATGCTGATGATGATGCCTATTATGATGATGAGGACGAGGATGGTGATGAGGCGGAGGAAGAAGCGGGAAAGGGGAGGGGGATGGGCGACGAGGGTGATGATGCGGATGAAGATGAGGACAGTGCTGTGGATGGTGATGAGGACGAGGATGAGAGTGAGCATGAGGAAACTGATGATGATGATGATGACGATGATGATGACGATGCTGATGATGACGATGATTACGATGGCGATGACGAAGATGCTGACGATGACGATGATGATGATGATGCTGATGGTGATGATCATGATGGGTATGATGATGACGGTGATGATGATGATGGTGACGCTGATGATGATGCCGATGATGCTGGTGATGATGATGATGATGATGATGTTGAGGATGGGGAGGAGGAGGACTCGGAGGGTGAGGCGGAGAAGGAGGAGGAGGAGGGAGGGGGATGAGGAGGAGGAGGAGGAGGAGGATTCGGAGGAGGAGAAGGAGGAGGAGGATTCGGTGGATTCGGAGGAGGAGGAGGAGGAGGAGGAGGAGGTCGAGGAGGAGGAGGAGGAGGAAGAAGAGGAGGAGGAGGAGGAGGAAGGGGAGGAGGAAGGGGAGGAGGTGGAGGAGGAGGAGGAGGAGGAGAGGTGCGAGGAGAAGGAGGAGTAGG